CTAAAGATTTGATGTTGGACAAGGAAGAAAACATAATGGGTTATGTTTTCTCACATCTCAGTTAAAGTATATTGTCATGGATCATTCAAACATATTGAGCTTGCCTTTCCCCCTCATGCTAGCCAAAATTCCTTGCACCAAGTAGAGATACTACTTGTGCTTCCAATATCCTTAAACCCAATTTCTGCCATGAGAGTCCACCATACCTACCTATGGATTGAGTAAGATCCTTCAAGTAAGTTGTCATCGGTGCAAGCAATAAAAATTGCTCTCTAAATATGCATGACTTATTAGTGCGGAAAAAAATAAGCTTTGTACGATCTTGTTATGGAAGCAATAAAAGCGACAGACTGCATAATAAAGGTCCATATACAAGGGGCAATATAAAGTGATGTTCTTTCGCATTAAGATTTTGTGTATCCAACCCTAAAAGCGCATGACAACCTCTGCTTCCCTCTGCGAAGGGCCTATCTTTTACCTTATGTCTTTTACTGTCGGCGTTCTAGGAACGGGAGTCTCCAGACTTGCCTGCCTGCGGCCTGCGGCGTGGCTCAAGGGGCGGCCTAGCACAGCCCATCTTCATCAGCACGAGCTGAAGAAGATGGCGAGGGGCCAAGCCTCGTGGGGTGGACGACAGGAAGCTTCCTCAGGCACGGCCTCGTCAGGCTGGCTCGCGAGGAGGCGGAGAGATCAAGGCGGAGTACCTCACGAGGTGCCCATGACGCAAGCCATGACGCCAAGGGCGCCAGGCGGGCGCCAGCCCGCACAGTGTCCTCCTTTCCTCTTTGGGGGAAAGGGAGCAAGCACAGGCGAGAGCATCAAGAAAAGGCATCCGTTTCGGTGTAACAAGACCAAGATCGTCGCAACGGCAGGAAGGAGGTCATTGTGCAGCCCAAGCCGGCGTCACCACCAGAGCCTTTGACAGGCGAGGACCAACTTTAGTCAGGATAAGCATACTAGATTTTCCCCTTCAAAATGGCCAATTGTTGGCGCCCTTCCCGCTCAATATTTGGGAAGAGGCCCAGGGCCTCTGTATATAAATAGGACTAGACACCCACAAGGTAGAGGGGGTGGGAAGATCGAGAGGAGGTCGGAAGATCGAGACCATCATCTAGAAACCAGCAGATAGAGAGCGACTGAACTCCCCTGAGCAGTTCATCGCACTGGCCAAGAACAAACCCTCGCGAGTCTGTTCTTCCTTGTATTGTTCATCATTAGCCCAAGAGGCAATCCACCACACCACAAACTAGAGTAGGGTATTACACCACAATGGTGGCCCGAACGAGTATAAATCCTGTGTCTCTTGTGTTGTTCCTTTCATAGCTTAGATCCTAGCGAGGCGGTGAGGTGCAGGTAGGTAGAGGGTGAAATCTCCGCGCGCACCCCAATGTTCGAATCTAGAGGGTCTTCCGGAACCCGAAATCCGACATTTGGCGCGCCAGGTAGGGGTGCGCCAGAATTCGTCTCCCGCCGCCCTGTTCTTCACCGACCATCGCATCCATGTCGGACGCTCGTCGAGCCCGCGCCGAGCGCCGAGCTGCTCCTACTTCCGGCGTCGACCAGACGGCCCCCGTCGGTGGCCGCCCACGCTGTTCCCCGTCGCCTGCCATCAACGCTGCCACTGGCCCGCGGGGAACGAGCAGCAAGCATCGTCCCAGCATCCGTCAGTAAGGCGAGACGGCCGCACTGCTACTCCCTCACTCACCCCAGTTGGTTCTTCGTCCCGCGTGCTCCGAGCGACCATGGAGGCTCGAGCTACGCTCATCGTGGCAAACGAGCTCCCGCGCTACCGCACAGTCGACGACGTCTACGAAGAGTGGCTCGACCGCGTCACCGAGATCATCCGCGCCACAGGGGGCTCCCCCGCACCGTCCATCTCACTGCACCGCGCCCCGCCCTGCGCGGGCAATGAAGCTCCGGGGGCGCCTCAACCGCCTCCTCCTCAAGAAGGCGCCCTGACCCCAAGGCGCGTGGCCCCTGGGCGGAACCCACTCCGTCCGACGCCAGCGCGGCAAGAGCAGAGTTGCCAAGAGGTCCCTCGTCCCCAAGAAGCTGCCCGAGTGCTCCCTGCTCCGGCCCGTCGCGACCACGCTCCTGTTCCAGCACGCCACTACCCCGCGCTGCTCCCAGCTGCAGCACATGGGGACCCGCAAGACCAAGCTCTTCGTCACCCATGGCCTCCCGTGGCCACAACAGGCTGCCACGCCTTCACCACCGAGCTGCGCAGCATCGGATGGCCCGGCAAGTTCAAGCCAGACCTAGTGCGCTACAACCACCCGCAAAAACTCTCTGTGTGGGCTCAGCATGCGTTCCAGGTGGTTGCAGACCCCGTGGGAGAAACATATGAGTGCGATTGCAGGCTATGGGACCACACATGTAAGGACTACAAAAAAGATGTTACATACTGTACTACTTTTTTTGCAAAGTTTTTGTTCGAATGAAATAACAAAAAACATGCACCTCTTCCAAAAACAAAATACAGGTCTTTTCTGCGTCTATGCCATGTGCATGATGCAGACAATTAAGGCTGAAAGCGTTCCAGAGAAATACATACTTAGGAGATACACCAAACGCCCGAACATCCAGCCAACATTTGACAGAAATGACTTGAGGACAGTAGCGACAAACAAGGCATCCCAATACTGCATTGGAAGCTCACTGCTGACGCTGAACATGAGGGTGCACAGAAAAATCTTGAGAAGCCAAGAGCAAATGGCAAGGACACGAGTCGTCATGGACAAACTTGAACAAGAACTCGACGCCATGCATTCTGCTGAAAATGGAGGTGTCGCAGACAATGAAGCCATTAAGCAGGATATTGCTACAATGTTATCCGAGATGAACCATATGGGAGCTATTGACCCGTTTGAGAACGAGGAAGATGAGCAGCAGCAACCGGAGCTTGCCCGTGTGCACACTCAAGAGCACTGACAAACTCACATGCGAGATCATGAGCTCGATGGTGCTGTAGGCGAACGACATGACAATAACACATCCTACCAGCAGTAGCAGGAAAAGGTGATTAAACCCCCAATATTCTCAAACACAAAGGGGAGGAAGAGCAAGATGCAAGCAGCGAAAGCTGCTAAAGCAGCAGCCAAAAAGCCACCACACCCCATCAAGCGCGTGGAATTTGGTCCGGACGACAAACCCCTCGGGGTAAGGGCATGCGGATTCTGCAACGTCGTGAGCAACCATAACTACCGCACATGCCCACTCCACACAGACGCCACTGTCAACAAGAACAAGCAGATTGGAGCCACCCAGCTTTCTACCAATGGAGACAACACACGTAACAGCTACACTTGCTGCAAGTGTGGCAGAACTGACGGGCATAATGCCCGCACGTGCAAAGTGGGCAAGGAGGTTAGTGGAGCTGAACATGAACAGGGCAACATACAGAGTTCCAAGCATCAAATGAAGACGATGAAGAAGAAGAGTTTGATGACAATGACGGCCAATCAGACAAAGACAATGAAGATGACAGTGTCGGGGGCGAGGAAACTGAAACTGACGATGAAGCTGCCAAGGCTCAACCTGAAAAGAGCGCCGGCAAGGCACAACATTCGGGGATAGTTAGGAGAAGCTCAAGACTGAACAATACATAGTGGTTTTCTTGTTGCGTCAACTAAAAAATAACCTTGTAGTCTCAGTTGCATCAGCACACAATGAGGAAGCATTTCACAAAACACTGTCGTTACCAAAACTTATTTAGCTTTATCATCGATTTCTCTATCAGAACTAAAGTTATTTTTTAGTTTCTGATTTGTGCACGCTGAAGCAGTGACATTATTATGTAAACCATTTGATAATCATTTTGAATGCAGACACGAAATACGTTTGAAAAAACTTATCTGGATATATTAGACGCAAAACGCTACTGTGAACCAGTAACTCGGGGAAAAAATATGTCAAAGAAAATTTTAAACTCTTGTAGCACATCAGTACTGATAAATCTCATTCGTCAGTACAAGGCAGAGTACACATCAGTGCTGATATAATTTCTGATTTGTGCCCACTGAAGCAGTGACATTATTATTTAAACCATTTGATAATCCTTTTGAATGCAGTCAAAAATAAAATTGAAAAAAACTTATCTTGATATATCTGACGCAAAACGCTACTGTGAACCAGTAACTCAGCAAAAAAATGTCAAGAAAAAATTTAAACTCTTGTATTACATCAGTACTGATAACTCTCTGTCTGCAGTACAAAAGGCATAGTAATAACAAACACACCAGTGAACGACTGAAAAAAAATCAGTTTGAAAAAATAAAGCTATGCCTGCTCCTGCCAGTCCCAATTCAAAAAGACTATCAGTACATAAAAATAATTACCTCAAGCAAAATGCGAATATAATACATCCTGTACTAGTGAAAATCTAATTTATCTGTAAAAAATACTCACAGGTTATCTTGATATAAACAATCCTTAAAAAATACGAAAATTGTTTTAAAAAACATTAGCACCACACATAGTCTCGCTGGTAATTGGTACGTTCAATCACACTTCAATCACCAGTCCGAGTACGACAGTAGAGGAGTTCAGACCTCCACCAACACCGACGCTGACACGTGCAAGTGGGATAAGCAGCTGATAAGTACAACTTGACTATTCGAATCGGTGCCACAGTAAAATGCCGTCATCACCACCGCAGAGACGTGCAAGTGGGATTTTGCAGGTCATAAGTACAGCTTGACAAGACTAGTCAGTTCAACAGTAAAAACCATATAAATTGGACGGTTAGTTCTTCGACGACGCCACCCGTGCCACCCACTGGGCAGTTGCCACGACGCACTGCAAACGGCAACCCCGCACGACCACTACACACATGCCCCCGACGAACTGCCTCCCACACACCACCGTCGGCGCACTGAAAAAATACCCCATTGTATTTCATCTCTCCCTCGTTCCCACAAACCACCCTTGCCGCTTCCATTTCCACTGCACACAAACCTCCAGCGTCTCTCTCCAAAGCCCAAAGTCGCCGGAGGAAGGCCATGGCGGAGGAACCGTCCACCAAGCGTCATCATGCCGAGACGTCGGACAAGAGGAGCAACCTCGTCGACATTAAAGTCCCCGGCGAGAAGCGCAACTACACCAGAACGCTCGAATGGGTTGAGCTCCACGGCAAGGAGACGCTGGAGATCGTCTGCACCAGTGAACCAGACAGGGCCGACAAGGTGATCTCCAGGCTGTGGAGGAAGCTTGGCAGTAGGTTTCGTAGGATCGTCGGCGTTGGTGTGCACTACACCAACGAAGATGGACCTCCCCAGATGGCGGCAGTCCTACAGTTGTGCGTCGACGAACTCTGCTTGGTGTACCACATTGCCGCGGCCACATAAATGGTGAGCAATCCTACTCATTTGCCCTGCATATGGTTTATCTGTTTTATTAGTACTGTAGTTTACGAAGTTGATACACACCATTTTGTGAAGATTGCTACAATATATGGTTTATGAAGTTTATTTTCTTCACTCATTTGCCCTGCATATTAAATTCTGAAGTTGATCGACTGGTGTAGTTTATGAAGTTGATAAAATAGAGTAATCTATGTATTTGATGTATTAAAAAAGATGTTTCTGAACTTCATGTAGTGAAGTATTTTCTGAATTTGATGTAATGTTATTTTCGTAAGAAAATAAACTAAGGACTTGGTGAAGCACTGGTTCTGTGTTATCCTATTCCAACAAAAGTAGACTAAACTAGTACCAATGTAGAACATACAACATTGACTGAAATTATGTATAATCCAAGAAGAAGAATAACATGATGTACTTAATTTAATTTCAGAACTTTCTTTACTAGTTTTTGAAGTACATTCATCCATTGTTTATCCTACATAAACAACTACTTCATGGATTAATCACTTGTAAAACAAAACAAAAATGGATAATTCAAACATCAAAGTAATGCTAATATTCAAAATGTCTCTGCCCTTGCAGGTCCAAGCGCCTGACCGACATGCTGCAGCATGACAAGTTGTTCACATTTGCCGGTTTCAGCATTGAAAGCGACAAAGAGAAACTGAAGTTGTCTGGTATGGAGATCAACCCCAACAAGTTCATCGACATTTAGCGCAAGTGGAGAGTTCCATACACCGGAAAAGAGTACGACTTCTTGACTGATGTTGCAGCCAGCGTCATCCACCCATTCTACAAAGGCATGAAGAACAAGATCAACACGCAGGAAGACTACAAACTGTGGGGGACAAGCGAGCTGCCAGACAACCTCATCGAGTACGCAGGGGTAGATGCGTACGCCGCGTACAAGTCATGGTTCATGATCGACTACATCACAGATGGTTCAGAATTTGCGAAAGAGCGGGAGGCTAACAACTTCTATGACCACCCCTATTGCCCCTTTTAGGGATGAAGATACATCAGAGCATGCCTTTGTTTTACTTCCGCTTGTGCTTGCCTTTTATCTTGTTGTTTCAAATTAGAAGTTTGCTCTTGTTGGGTTGAACCAGTATGATTATGTCGTGCTTGTCATGTTTGAACAAGTTTAGTTATGTCATCAAGTACAATGTTTTGCTTATCTCATTATATAAGTTTGGTTTGGTAGCTTCATATGTTGTTAATCCATCATTTCAAAATTGAAAAGTAGCTTCTGAAAGGAACGTTGTCGTTGCTCTAAAGTACTAGTTATGATGCGACTAATCACACAACATTGTTCCATGTCAGCACAACTCAGTACACTTGATCGGACATTGCATACTTACTACAATAAAAAGTACAAAGAAGAATCAGTCCGTAAGCGCTACTATGAATGCACTATCAGTACAACTCAGTCTACACGCAAGTATCATAGTTCTGAAAATGACACCAGAAGACACTTGAGAATAATCACAAAAACAAACACAAAAAAGAAGGCAAAAAACTCAAATGAAAAAAGATTACGCTCACACAAAACTGACAAGAATTAGAACAAAAAGTATCAGTCCAAGCTACTGGAGGAGTCAAGTACTAGATTCAAACAAACAAAAAAGTTGACCGCCCAAGGTCAGGCGCAGGCCCTGACAATGCTAGATACTTGAACTCGAGCCCGTGTGTGAAACCCTAGTAATCCGCACAATGCAGGAACCGCCGACCAGGGCCCACAGGTCAAGAGAGAGCGAGCGCCGTGTATAAGCGCTCCGGTAAGTGTTCAGAGGAGTTCGACTGGTGAGCGTCGGCTGCGCTTATAAACAGGTCCGGAGCCCCCTCGATTAGCGAGTTGGAACTAAACCTAGAGCGCACGCGCACGACGCACTGCACAGGCGCGCGGACGAGCTATCTGGGCCGGAAAACGGCCCAATAGCCTACATCATCAAGAAAACACCCCACCAAAATAAGCCCAGGTATACAAACCAGAGGGCAGGACAAAGAAATATAAACCACAAGAAAAATGTTTGTCAATTAACCTCTACAAGAAAAAAGGAAGAAAATATGATACAAAAACAATGAACCTCTTAAAAGAACAAAACTTAATAGCCTTTCTGTTAAATGTACATAATTTTAAAAACATAATTAAATATTACTTTCGAGTTCAACTACTAAAACTAAAAAAGTTCAAAACAGATAATGTTTGTCAATTATGCTAAAATTCTTATTTATATAAAAACTGACAAGTTCAAGTACTAAAGCTCAAAAAGTTCAAACAAATAATGTTTGTCAACTATGCTAAAATTCTTATTTATAGAAAAACTGACAAGTTCAACTACTAAAATTCAAAAAGTTCAAAAATAGAATTTATTTGTCAATTCTGCTAAATCTATTATTTATATATAATCTGTCCACACCACAACGAACGATCTGGTCGTAAAATAATCTCAAACCCCCACCGCCAACCTAAGTTATAAAAAAATCAGTTCAAACATACATACAACATCAGTACTAAAACAGCAGGATGAGTCAGGCCACTCGCACCACTCTGACATCAAATTTCAAACACATGCGCTGTTTGAAATTACAATTCAGTTCACACAGTAATAAAACATAAGTACACTAAATATGAGAATACAAAAACTATAAAGGCCTAACTTAGGTTGGTACAGATGAAAATAAAATAAGTACAATTTATGAGCAACAACTCCCAGGGCACTGAAAAAATGTTTTGACATACACTAGTGTATAAAGGCTTCAATAGAAAAACAATACTTAAATATCCACACGAAAAACATCACAGATCCATAAGTACAGCTTGACTATACGAATCGGTGCCACAGTAAAATGCCATCATCACCACCGCAGAGATGTGCAAGTGGGATTTAGCAGATCCTCAGTACAGCTTGACAAGACTAAACAGTGCACCAGTAAAAAACATTTGTCTTGGACGGTTAGTTCTTCCACGCCACCACCCGCGCCACCCACTGGGCGGTTGCCATGACGCACTGCAAACGGCGACCCCCGACGAACCGCCTCCCACACACGCCCCCGGCGAACCGCCTCCCACACACCACCGTCGGCGCACTGCAAAAATACCCCATTGTCTTCCATCTCTCCCTCGTTCCCACAAACCACCATTGCCGCTTCCATTTCCACTGCACACAAACCTCTAGCGTCTCTCTACAAAGCCCACAGTCGCCGTAGGAAGGCCATGGCGGAGGAACCGTCCGCCAAGTGTCATCATGCAGAGACGTCGGACAAGAGAAGCAACCTCGTCGACATTAACGTCCCCGGCGAGAAGCGCGAGTACACCAGAACGCTCAAAGGGGTTGAGCTCCACGGCAAGGAGACGCTGGAGATCGTCTGCACCAGCGAACCAGACAAGGCCGATGAGATGATGAGCAGGCTCAGGATGAAGGGAGGCGGCTTGTATCCGAGCTTCATCGGAGTTGATGTGGAGTACACAAACGAGGAAAAACCTCTACAGATGGCTGCAGTCCTGCAGTTGTGCGTCGAGGAACTCTGCTTGGTGTACCACATCGCAGCGGCCACACAATGGTGAGCAATCCTACTCATTTGCCCTGCATATGGTTTATCTATTTTATTACTACTGTATCCTAAAAATTTAATCACTTTTGTTTCCCAACTAGATGTACTAGTGTGGTTTGTAGTGAAGTATTTTCTGAATTTGATGTAATATTATTTCGTAAGAAAATAAACTAAGGACTTGGTGAAGCACTGGTTCTGTGTTATCCTATTTCAACAAAAGTGGACTAAACTAGTACCAATAAAGAACAGACAACATTTACTGAAACTATGTATAATCCAAGAAGAAGAATAACATGATGTACTTAATTTAATTTCAGAACTTTCTTTACTAGTTTTTGAAGTACATTCATCCATTGTAACTCATACTAATGTTCATTCATCTGTTGTACCAGTACTAGTCACTAAAAACTTAATTAAAAATTGTTTCCCAACTAGATGACCTACTATAGTCTATGAAGTGGATGCACGATTACATGTTTATCAAGTTACATGTATTTCCGAAACTGTGAAATGGATTGTTTAACCAGATTAGCATCTGAAAAAAAGTTTATAGCATTCTGAACTTTATGCATCAAATTAATTTCTGAACTTCATGAACTAGCATAGATTCTGATCTTGATGCACTAGTATAGTTTATAGAATTGATGTATTAAAAGATCTTTGGTGAAGTGGTATAGGTCCATATCTTGATGCACATGTTTCTCAAACTAATTTTTGAACTTGATAAGGAATTAATGCACAAAGATGTATCAAGCACTGGTGTAGGTCTTTTATTCAACAAAAAAGAAAACTAAACTTGAATCAAGCAGTGCATATATCATTGACTCTGGTAAAATGATTCTCTAATTTGGTGAAGCATTTGGTAAAGCAAAGAAGATAGCAAAAAAGAAAAAATAACACGGTGTAGTTAAATTTAATTTCAGGACTTTGTGTACTAGTTTCTGAATTACATTCATGCATGACTCATAATATATAAGCATCTACCTCATGGATTATCACTTGTCGAACAAAAAAAGCAGAAGAATTAAATCCTCAAAAAAGAAGACTAATCTTTAAATGTGTGTCTCCCACCTTGCAGGCCCAAGCGCCTCAAAGACTTCCTACATGTGGAGAAATTGTACACATTTGTTGGTTTCAGCATTGGAGGTGACAAGCGGAAGCTGGAGAAGTCTGGTTTGGAAATCAACCCCAACAACTTCATCGACATGCAGCGCAAGTGGAAAGATCCAAAGACCGACAAATACTATGACTCCTTGGCCGATGTTGCAGGCGGCATCATCCACCCATTCTACGAAGGCATGAAGAAGAAGATGAACAGGGAAGACCACAAACTGTGGGGGAACAGCCCGCTGCCAGACAACCTCATCACATACGTAGGAATAGATGCATACGCAACGTACAAGTCATGGAAGACAATCGACAACATCGTGACAGGTTGGGATATTTCAAAAGAGCAGGAGGCTGACCCCTACTACCACTGCAACTTCGCGGATGAAGATGCATGAAAGTCTGCATTTGTTATTTTGAACCAGCTACCTTATGCTGTGTGTGTCCTTAGCATTGTTGTTTCAGATTTGTAGTTTGCTTTCGTTATGTTGAACCAGCTACCTTATGCTATGTCTGTCAGGGTTTGAACAAGTTTGCCTATGTCTATCAAGTACATCGTTTGCTTATGTCGTCCAACAAGTTTGCTAGCTTTCTATTTTGTTCATCCATGATTTGAAGTTGAAACTTGATGGCTGCCACGCAGCACTAGTCATGGAGAAAAAAAATAACACATGAATATTTTCGCAAAAAAAAGTGGCAGACTAAATAAACGCCAAAAGCAAATAGTAGCCTTCCATGCTCAGTACAGCTTAGACATGAACGGTAGTACTATCACGCTAAAAATCAGTTTTTAGTTTCAGAAGAACACTAAAAAGACTAAGTTTCAGCCAAGGACAACATTCAGTACTAAAAAGCATCGTGCTAAAAAGTAGTTAGAAATTCACTAAGTACTGCATCAGGAAAAGCAAGAGAAACACCAGTACGTATTTCCTAGTCACTAGCATCCTAGGACTGAAAGTTCTGGTACAGTTGAACACACGGTACATTCATTCTACAAATATATAAAAAGGAACGGAAGCTTCAGTTCGCATTCCTTAAAACAGTGACAAACTA